GGAGACGGCCCTGATACATGATTAGTTCTTTGCAAAATAAGAAATGGGAAAGAAATTTTGTAGACTGCCCAAAAAGGAAAGTGAGAAAAAATTTGTTAGATAGATGGAGTAATTAATGATGTTTTTCACAAAAGACTTCATGCTCCGACGACACTAGGGTGCACTAGTGTAACTCTTCCAAATAAAAGGCCACAGGATCAAGCTATAGCGAAGGCAGCATATCTCTAAGTTTCAATATGTTAAGAAAAAGTATGAACATATCTTACATTTAAAAAATTATCTCTCCTACCCTTTGAAGAGACATACAATCACATGCAATATCTCATAATACCAGGCATATTCTTTATTTTATATATATATATATATATATACACACACACACACACATACATATATATGTATATGTGTGTGTATATATACATACATACATACATACATACATACATACATACATACATACATACATACATATATATATATATATATAAGAAGAAATTGGAAGAAGCTCTTGGTTTTATGGTAGGAAGCCCACCTTTCAAATATTTGGGGTCTACTATTACAACAGGTAAGCTTAAGAGAATTCACTGTGATCACATCCTCAATCACTTTGATGCTTATCCTCACATCCTCAATCACTTTGATGCTTATCTTAACAGCTGGTACAATAAGGAGCTTAACCCTATGGGCGGATTAATTCTCATCAAACATGTGCTTAGTGCTATTCTTTTACACACACTAGCTGTGCAAGACCTTCCCAAGTCTGTCATCAATCTTATCCAGGATAAACTAGCCAACTTCTTTTGGGGTTCTAATAATGGGAAGAACAAACATCACTGGGCAAAGTGGACTACTCTATGCCAACCTAAAGGTGAGGGAGGACTAGGTTTGAGAAGCCTTGAAGATATTCAAAAAGCTTCTGCTTTGAAGCTTTGGTGGAAGGTTGCTAATGATGATTCTATCTTGTCTAAATATATGAAGGAAAAATACTACAGGGATGGCTTGTTTGAGGCAAAATTGTATGACTCTGCTTCATGGAAAAGAATTTGTAGAATTTCTCCAATTGGTCAGCAAAACACATCCATGACCAATTCAAATCTCACATGGATCAATGGAAACTTTTCCTTCAAGGAAGCCTACTGGGCAGTAAGGGATAGAGATGATAACAGCATAACTAATGTGGGTATTTTCATAGACATTCAAAAATTAGTACAACACTGGTATTGGCCGAACAAAAAGGTGCAAAAGATTGCCACAAGCGCAGATATCCAAGCACTTAATCTTAAACCTTACCTCTCCAAATGATTGCGCAGGAATTGCCCTCGGGTAGCAGATAAAGCAGCGCAGAAATCGCACAAAGGAAGAAGAAAGAGCAGCGCCGGTTTCCTCATTTGGCTTTTGTTGTCGGGTTGGCCCAAGCCCAATTCTTTACATTCCACTCTTTAATCTATTTGGTAAAGATTACCTGAACCTTACCCCACTGATTTAGTGGTTTCCTTTTCAGGTATATATATATATATATATATATATATATATATATATATATATATATATATATATATATATATATATATATATATATATATATATATATATATTGAAATTAGGGAATTTTATTAATGGAATCGAAAGGAGGGGACACTCTCATTATAGAGAGAGGCCTTTACAGAAGAAGAACAATCACAAAAATTACAATATTCAATGAAATTATATCCTTTGGTTGCGTCTTCTTTAGCCAACAAGTCCGCGGGCTGGTTTCCTTCTCGAAGAGTATGAGACGTCCATATGTTATTGTTTATGATCATAGCCCCCAGGATGTCAATTGGAAATGGAGAATATGAATGATGAGCATATTTTGTGAGTCTCACAATGATTTCGTTGGCATCCGTTTCGTAGACCAAGAGTTTACCAAAGTTAAGCGCCCATGTGATGCCCTTAATGGCAGCATTCACCTCGGCTTGGTAGGGGGATGTACCTGTAACTTGGAAGGAGGCAGCGCCAACGAATCTGCCCTGGTCATCTCTCAGGATAGCTGCTCCATGTTTAGCATTATGAGAGAAGGATGCGTCCACATTCAGTTTAAGTCTGCCCTTAGGTTGTTCCAACCACTTGACCACGCGTATTTTAGGACTGGATTGGAACTTAGGCAGTATTTGTGCGTTCATAAGCCAAGCATCATAGATCCTAAGATGTTTAGGTAATTTGATTTGGAGCCAGCTCTTTATATACCTGGATATTGAATCAATGAGCTTTGAGGGATTAAAGCTGCTATTGTCTTCATAGATAAGCGAGTTAAGCGCCTTCCAAATATGCCAGGATATGATACCAGGCATGTGCATTCTAAGAAAACCGTAAATGGTGTTGTTTCCTCTAAGCCACCAGTTCAAGAAATGTTGGTTAATAGTTGGGGAGTTGTGGTGTAGAATGCCAACACAGGCTAAGAAATGATGCCAAATTCCCCTAATCATATGACAGTCAATGAGGGAATGTTTGGCATCGTAAGAATCTCCTTTACAGAAAGGGCACATTGAGGGAATGAGGAAACCAAGTTTCTGCAGATTTTCAGGGGTAAGAATACAATGTCTGAAAAGTTTCCAAGTAAAAATGCTGATCTTTGAGTTTTGGGGGGATTCCCAAAGGTATTTAAAAGAGGCCATGGGGGTTGAAGCATCCCTACAAAATTCATATGCTGATCTAAGGGTGAATGAACCATTAGGGTCAAGTTTCCAATGCATCATGCCATCATCAGAGACAGAATAAGCATCAATGGCAGTGTCCTCAATGTTGAAGATTCTCTTCCAAACTGGGGAATCAGTTATATTTGCCTTCATCTCCCCATTCCTCCAATATTTTGCTTTCATAAGCCTTGCCCACAGTCCATTGTCATTGTGGTATTTCCACCAAAGTTTAAGGCTGAAGGCATTCTCCAATCTTTTAAAATCTCTTGTTCCCAGGCCACCTTCTTCTTTGGGGGCACAAAGTTTCTACCAACTAATCCAGTGATGCTTTCCTCCCCACCAAAATCTAGCCATTTTCTGGTCTAACAAGCACTTGATGGATTTGGGCATTGTATTAGAAGCAAGGAAATAGTTGGGTAGAGTGTTTAGGACATGATTGATAAGCACTATACGACCTGCTTGATCCAAGTTTTTCTGATACCATCCATTCAGCTTCGTATCGAAAGAAGAAATGAGGTTGGCGCAGTGAATTTGTCTCGTGATTCCCAAGTCAATAGGAATACCCAGATAAGTAAAAGGATAGGTTTTATGGGACATCCCTAGAAGTCTTTCCAGCTTGGAAATGGCCAGAGAGTTAGGCTTGGAACCCATCATAAAGCTGCTCTTACTGTAATTGATGGTCTGTCCGGATACCAATTGATATTCATTGAGGAATCTTTTGAGGTTGGCAACAGATCTGGTAATTCCAGAAGAGAAGATGATGATATCATCAGCATAGGAGAGGTGGGTAATAGGGATGGACTTTCTCCCTGAATTGAACCTGTCAATGAAGCCATCAAGAAACATTTGGTTAAGGTTTCTAGAGAAACCTTCATTAGCAATAATAAAGAGGAGAGGAGAGAGTGGATCCTCTTGTTTAATCCCCCTTGATTGACCAAAATATCCACATGGTTTGCCATTAATGAGAATAGAGTATTTGGAGGAGGCAAGCAGGTTATTCACCATCTGGATAAATTGAGGAGAAAAACCAAAAGCCTTGAGGATATCCAAAAGATATGACCATTTAAGCTTATCAAAAGCTTTCGCCATATTTAATTTGACAATAAGGTTACCACCACGAGCTTTCCTATTAATATGATGTACCATCTCCTTGGTGATGAGAATCTGGTCCATAATCTCTCTCCTTGGAACATAAGCACCCTGTTCATCAAAGATAATAAGAGGAAGAAGCCTTCCAAGCCTACTTGCAATGCATTTAGTAGCAATTTTGGATGCCACCGTAGAAAGGCAAACCGGTCTGAAGTCATTGAGTTTCATTGCATTATCAACCTTAGGCAACAGACAAATGTTGGAAGAACTTGCTGCTTTGGGAAGAGGAATCCCTAGAAAAACCTCTTGGCAAGCGGAAGTTATATCACCCTTGATTATGTCCCAGCAGTGTTTGAAAAAATTGATATTGAAACCATCTGGACCAGGAGATGAATTAGGCTCCATGTTCCAGACGGTAAGCTTGATCTCGTCTTCTGTGGGTAGAGACATGAGTCCTTCATTATGACTTTGTTCAATAATCTGAGGGATGGTTTGCAAAAACTGTGAATAAACTTCACTTGAGCTGCAATGTTCTGAGGAGTTAAAGAGAGTAGTGAAGTGGTTAATTGCAAGGGCCTCCATGTCATCAGGTTTATCAACAAGTTGGCCTTGTTCATTAAAAAGACCCGTAATTTGCTGCTTTCTCCTCTTTTTTTTTACCAGGTTGTGAAAGAATTTAGTGTTGGCATCTCCATCTTTCAACCATTTAAGGTTACATTTTTGTTTCCAAAAGGCATGTTCTCTCTTATTCACCTCCTGAAGTTCTGCCACCTTCTGATTATAGAGGATTTTGTTATCAATTGAAGGGTTTTCTTCAAAGAGCTGTTCAGCCTTAGTTGCTTCATCTTCAGCTTCTTTAATCATGTTGAAGATGTTACCAAAATGTGTTTTATTCCAAGAAGAGAGTTTCTCTTTGAGATGATGAAGTCTTTTGAAGAGGCTCTGCATTCCTCCATGGAAAGGAATCTCTTCCCAACTATCCTTGCAATACTGCATAAAATCACCTCTTAATAACCACATATTTTGAAATCTAAAGGATTTGGTGGTGTTTCTAGCTCCTGGCTTTGAGAGGAACAGTATAGGACAATGATCACTTCCACCTTTAGCAAGATGTTGCATAGAGATGATGTTCCAATGATCAGCCCAAAAGGTATTATAGAAAACTCTATCTAGACGCCTCCATACATTGCCATTACTTCTAACCCCATGCCAAGTATAAGATGATCCAGTGTAGTTACATTCAAGGAGGTTGTTGTCCCTGATACAGTTACTGAAATCAGTAATAGCTTCAAGATCAGGCAACCTAGAACCCCTATGATGAAGGAAATCTGATGAATGTAAGGCAACCTAGATCCGTGAACCTGGGGTTTGCGTAGGGCTCCTGCTTTGGACGTTTCTGCTTGGCACAAATCTACTTGTTCCTTACCTTGAGGGGGATCTAAAGTAAAAGTGGGTTTAGGGACCCACTCCATATTGGAATTATGCTGACGTCTAGTTTTCCTCTGCACTGTGGTCCATTCATTCTCCAAAACTTTGCCTTTGTCCTTACGTGGTTGCATGGTTCCTACCGACGGTAGGTTCCCCACCAGGATTTCCGGCTGGTTTGCCGCCTTGTAGGTGGTAGGGTTGTGGCCTAGTCTATGGCAAGAATCACCTCGAAAAAGAGGTCTTCATCAATATGTTTGACGTGGATCTTCTGGTGGAGATACTTGGACACATCAATCTCAATGCAAACCCTAGCAGCCTTTGGACGAGAAAAGTTGAGTGTAGCATTGTCAACTTTTAGGGGTTTGCCTAGCTTGGAAGTGATGTAAAATAAAGCTTTTTGATCATGAAGGTGAATGGGGAGATTAGGGATAGAAACCCAAACCGGCACAATTGGAGAATCTTCATTAGGGCGCAGGTTGGGAGACCACTTGGTAACCACCATGATTTCCTTTCCAAGAGTCCAAGATTTGCGTAAGAAAAGACGCTGATAATCTTCATCTTGCTCGAAGTTGATGAGGTTGGAGTTGGAGTTGAGCTCTCCAAGAGTGAAACCTCCAGCCAAGCCCAGCCGGGTAAGGAAATTTTTCACCACTGCAATGGGAGGTCTACGCCGAAATCTGCCAATCAGGGCAAACCTGAAGCGGTTGGAGAGGGCTTCAACTTCTTCTTTAGAGAAGGAGACCGAGGGACATCCCTTGAAGCTGGATTTATCAGATGGCTTGATCTCACTGCCTGTTTTGAAACGTTCAGAGAAGAGTTTGGAACGTGCAGGGCAGTTGCTTGAGCTAGTCCCCGGAGCTGCTGGAAAGAGAGCCGGGAAACCTGCCGGAATATTTTCTCTCTCTAACGCCATCAGTCCCATATCATATATATATATATATATATATATATATATATATATATATATATATATATATATATATATATATATATATATATATATATATATATATATATATACACACACCCCAAATAGTACTTCCGAAAATTACTGAACAAAATTATATTAGGTCCAGTATCTAAATATGGCCACCTGATTGAATTTTTAATGGGATAAATTTGTCTCCAAAATTTATTGACTAATCTACAAAAACAATAACGGTAAAAACTACTAAACTAGTAACTTCGTAAGCCGGCTCTGATACCACTGTTGGGAAACGAGGCTTGGATAACGCAGCGGAAAACAAAAATTTATAGTCCAAAACTCGATTCCACCTAAGAACAACTTACGTAAATTACTAGCTATAGTAAGAAATTTACCTTAACGGTGAAAACGGAGAACGGAGGAACGGTCGGGGATGGTTTTGAGGAGATGAACGTAGCGCCAAATGTATGAAGCCTCCAACGAATCCACACGAACTTGCTCCGGAATCCAAGATTAAACTTGTGCTAGCAAGTTTAATATAGGATAGTAAAAACTATAATAATACTACTTTGGGAGTAATAAATATATTGTAAAATATTTATCTTATAAATATTTCTTTATAATATTTTGTGTATATTTCTAACACTTTAGAAAAATAACTTTGAACACATATCAGAGAATATAATAACTTCAAGTCTGAGGATAGTTATAGTAAGGTCGATTTGAGAATACTGATAAACACATTACTGTAGATTTATGCAGTATTCTCAAGATGGGTCAATCCAGTCACATATTATCGATATAATATGCACCTACGTACAGATTAAGATATCACAATACCTATAGTCTATGAGACGCAACTATCTCATATCATACGTACTAGTCTTGATACGTTATGACGTCCGTATTATCATAAAGTGCGACTAGGGATATTCTAGACATAGCCTTCGTCAAGAAGTAACGGTCTCATAATCAGAACATCGTAGTCCTCATCTATGTTACTGAAGCGCTATCGTCTATGGACTGAAGCTATGTTATGTTACACGAGATATAAAACATACTTCAAGGCCTTTCATTCATGATAAAGTGTACAGTTACATAGGTATTTTATTGCCGCTAGGGCACCTAAATACAACATGTTTTTGTGGGTGAAATCTAAAAACTATATAGAATACATTAAAAGAACATGAAAAGCCATGTATTGTGTAAAGTTCTGGTGTTTGTAATCAGAAGGGACTTTAACATTATGTAGATCCTCTTCTAGTTCACTAATAATGTGTACTACTTAATGCAAGTGAAGGTTTGAGTATTATTTATTGGTCAATTCTTAAGTGTTGGTAGGTAGCTGGTCATCATGAATGTACTCCATACAAGTCAGTTCTTAAGTTTTGCATCCTATTTTTGGAATTTACTTTAAATCTAAGATTGGCTTATTAGAGATTTTGTTTTTTATTACATTTTCAGTGGGCGCATCGGTGAAATTTGGAATACACCGAGGATGACATCAATCAAACAAAGGTTGAATTTGCAGAGTATTTTATGATTCATAATGCCATTCGAATGGTTCTACTTATTCTGCACTTTGGTTGTATGTTTTGTTATATTTTTGTATTATGTATTGGGAATTTATATTTCTTTTGTGATCAGTATATCAATTTTATCATTTTCTAAAAGTTAAGAAATTGAAAAATGTAGTTTTCCAATTACTTTCACCACTTATGATATATGTTGTATGATTTATTGACTGACCACTAAATTATAATGCAAAAAATGTGGTTGACTAAATAACAAAAGGTATACACTAAATAAGTAATATTATGAATCATAAAGAGACAACCCAAATAACAATACTTGGAACTACAGTGGGAGAACCACCAAATAGAGTAGTCCGAATGGTTGAGGGACAACACCAAAAGACAATAGTTTGAATCTCGGCAAGACAACGCCATAAAACAGAAGCATATGATTATGATAGGCAACACAAAAAACACTGGACTGATAAACAGTCTCACTACTGTTAAATTGATATTTTAAATCTTTTACGGACAACTACAGAAACCAGTAGTGCTAATAGCTGCTAGACATCCCGTACTCATAATTGTGTGAAATGAAACATAATTGTATTCTTTATTTTAGATATACCACAAAAAATAACAGTTGTCTGATGTCTAGCAGTGGTGTTCCAAGCAGCTGTCTGATAGCAATTTTGACTACTGCCTGAAAATATTGTTTGAATGTCTAAAGGACAACGAACCAAAACAGTAGAGTTTATAGATTGCGTGTAACTAAAAAAAATAGTTGTTTAAGATAAGACCAAAATAATAGTCTGAACATTATACACACAACCCAACGTAATAGTTGTTTGGTGGAAATACTTATAGTGGTCTTCCGAGCAGCTATCTCGTAGCCGATTCAACTACTGTCTCGAAATATAGTTTGAATATCTAAAGGACAACCAACAAACACCGTAGTGTTAATAGATGACGTACAAGTAAAAACATTTGTTTAAGGTAAGACCAAAGTAATAGTCTCAACGTTGTACACACAACAAAAGGTAACAGATGTTCGATGGAATTACTTATAGTGGTCTTCCAAGCAGCTATCTGATAGAAAATTAGACTACAGTTAGAAAACATAGTGTAAATGCTTCAATCACAACTACAATAAACTGTAGTCATAGTAATCCATATACAACTAATTAAAACAGTTGTTTTTAAGTAGTAGTCTCAAATTCTATATACAACCCCATAGAATAGCTGTCTGAGTATATACAAAAGCGTAGTGTCAATCAGGAGCAGACCACAAATATTCAATATTGTGTTATACTATAAAAAACCGGTGTAAGATATGGATTTGCACAATTGGTGTGAACAGAAGTCTAGTATCCCATTAGATAGCTGCTCGGAAGACTACTGAAAACATCAATATAAGACTACTAATATAAACAATTGTTAGGCTCTGTTTTTAACGTAGTGTTCTCCTCTTGGCTCTTAGCAATCGCTTCCCTTTCTCTCTCTATTTCCTGATGCTCACAAAGGTCACGCGGGATAGGACCGGAATGCCTTCACGCACTGTGCAAAGGATGGCGCGGCTGCTCCACTGGACCACATGAGATCCTGGAAGGACCCACGAGTTCCTGGTTCAGTCTTTCCATCACATTCGCCATCATGTTAGAAATGTTGTTTAGGGCCACCTCCAACCCAGGGGTTGGGACAACGACTTCTTGTTCTGGGCCTCTTGCCCACGCATACGACTGCTAGGAGTTGGCAGCGTTGCATCTGGAGTTTCTGGTTCTTTGTCCAGACATATTCTCAAAATGTTTTTCTGACAGTTTATCTCTTAATGAAGCATCAATGGTGAGATTTAGCCCAATAACTATGGTGGTACGAAGAACTAGTATTTACATAAGAATGATATAGAATGAATATATATGACTCTCGTACATTTGTATTAGCTCGATTCAACTTTGGTTACAATGGATGATTTATCTCATATTTATAGTCTAACGTTACTGCGTACATGGTATGTAATTTGTGCGCTACATTATCGAGCTGATTGGCTATCGTGCGTCAATTGTGGGCGAGGAATCTATCATCAATCACCCCCCCCCCCCCTCAATCCCATGATCACGAGGAGTGCACTTGCCTTATATTTACTGATCCATCTTGATAGGCTGGGCTTGATCCATTACTTCATTCAGCCCTTTAATCCGAATCATTCTTTGTAATCTAGATCAGCCCTCATCTATGTTGGGCTCAGAATAACATGCTTGGGCCTTTTTGGCCCACTTTATGATCCCGATATTCATCAAGTAAATTCCGCTACATATAATTATATGATCAGTGTTAGAAGGCACAAATACTTCTGACTTAGATTAATTAATTAACTGAGTCTTCTACATTTGTCAAAATTGGTCTGTTACGCTCCATGAAAAAAAAAAATAAAGAAAGAAATAAAGAAAGAAAGAGCTATTGAGATAGGAAGGGATTACATTGTAACAATGTGTAGTTGCACATGGTCGTCGTCAACCAATAAATTGGAAGGGGAAAATGAGTGAGAAATGTACAGAAGATCACAGATTTTGTTATTATTTTGGAGTTTTGTTATGTCATTAGTCCCTGAACATTTGAAAACGTTAAATCAATGGTCTCTCTGTGCCAAATTTAGGAGTGCGTTAATCACACATACATCAACATATTTGTTGGAGATCGATAAAGATGTTATGGATTGATGAAGAGTTTTCAAGCTTTGAGTTCGGTTACCAAAAGCTAAAACGAGAATAGTTATCTAGAATTTTTAGATGTTAAAAATATAAAATATAATGTTTGAGAAGGGTATATTGCATAACTGATATGTGATATATGATTTAGATTAATCCATACATGAACTGGACCAGCGTGTGATTAACACACTCTCAAATCTGGCACAAAGACCATTGATGCATCATTTTTCTATGTTCAAGGACCATTGATGCAAATTTTAAAGTTCAAGAAGAATCAGTATAATTTTTTTGTGAGTTCGGGAATAATAGCAAAAAAACTCTTCTTTCTCTTGGGAGGGATTTGATTTGAGAGAAGGACCAAAGTAGTAGTAAAACATATGACATATCCTCAAAATAAGAGTTGAAACACTAAATAGGATTAATTAACTTAATTAATCTAATGGCTTAGAGTTAAGAAGCGAAGTAGAAGTAAAACATTGACCATGTACCAAAATAGAAGTTATATTCATATTACAAATAAAAATTAAAAACATTTTATAAATTAAAAAAATTCTAAATTTGTTACAGTGCCTACCGCACATGTCACTGTCGCCACCTTGCCACCATCGCCGCTATTGTCGTTGCCGCTACTGTCATTGCTGCCACTCCATCGCCTCAATCTCCTACTGCCCTTGCCCCCATTTGCTGCTGTCAATATTGCAATTCACTACCAACATTGGGTTCAGGACTGCCATTGTCGCCACCATAGTGCCAAGGTGTCACTGCCTAGGGAAAAAGATTTGAATACAATGTCAAAGACGATAACGCATACAGACAAACATGTCATTGTATAATGCCAAACATGTTATTGCGTAATGCCAAACATGCCAATATAAAATGTCAAGATTGACAACATATAATGTCAAGCTTTTTTATCACTATCACCAATTTTTGCTGAAATTGTGAGCAAAATTTAAACACAACTAATAGAAAAACAATCAAACAAAAAAATTAAAAGAAAAACAATCAAATACAAAAATGAAAAGAAAAAACAAACCAAAATCAATGCCTAATGAAGATGCAATTTTTCAGAGAAAAAAAGGATGAATGCAATTAGTTGGAAGTATTTCTTACTTCTACAATGCAGTCTCAATTATAGAGCATTTGGAAGCTAATTAAAAATCAAAATCATAGTCATCGCGACTGGCGGCAATCTCATCTCTTATGGATATAGGCGGTGCGATAGATCTGCAAGGGAGACAGATAGAGGCGGCGCTCCGTGACGGATCTACAAGGGATACTTCGTGACAGATCTGCAAAGGCGGAAGCTGGTGCCGCAGCACTACAAGGAGTGGGGCGGCGGTGATGAACTGCACTTAGGGTTTATTTGACGGAGGCAACGTTTCAAAATAGTGAGGGTAGTGTCCAAAAATGAGAGAGGGAAGAGAGAAAAGCATGGTGGGGTGGCCCTGAGGAAAGGGAGGAAAGAGATGAGATTAATTAGAGATTTAATATTATTTATGAGGATTTTTATTACTTAATTACTCCTATTCAGATAAGTTTAAGTTTGAACTCCTATTTTAAGGATATGACATATGTTTTACTTCTATTTAGGAGGTTTTCTTATTTGATTTGGGTTTGAATATGGACATAAATACGGGGTTCGGTCGTGGGATTCATGCACTAGAATTTAGATCCGTAGAATAGAAGTGTTTCATACAATACCCTGTACGGGAGGGAGTAACTTGTACACATTCAAAGTCAATACATGCTTTGATCCTAAAGATGCTCTCCCCCACATGTTCACTAATTTCTCTCCACTCCATGCATTTTCCTCAACCCACTAATTCTTAACAAAGAAGGTCCGATAATGGGCCGCAAACTTCATTACGATCCAACAAAAAAGCATGAACAAATTAATTAACCCTGGCAAGAAATCCTTAAACTCTCTCAATGATCAGATGATCTCCAGAATTCGACGATCCCATCTCTGGTGAGTCTCTTGTTGATCCTTGTGCTGGATTACATTTTAAGATTGCTCATAATCTTCTATTAACAAAAGATATAAAAAAGTATTGCTCAAAAAAATAATATGAAAAAGAAGATTTTTTTTTCCCATTCATTCATTATAGTAGGAATGTGAAAGCTATCAGTGACTTTTTACAATTATCTGCATGGCTGAATCCTCCGTAACTAAATGAATCTGACCATACCCTCATGAATTTGCTGTAGAAAAATATCGCAGAATGAGAGTCGGGGGTATGATATGTCCCTATATTTCCTATGTACAAATTATGGATAGCTCCAAAGTGGTAGAGATGTGCTGAACCAAATGGGGAAAAAAATGGGTGCATTTGATCAGTGGATTAAGGAAAAAAAGGGCTCTCTGTCTACTCAGAACTTTGGGATTTCCTGGGTTCCGAACGATCACGACCTACCGTGCCCCTGACAAAGTTGGCATGGTTTTGAAGATCTTTGAGAGCACCAATGATCTGGAACGCTCAGAAAGTGTGTGTCGATGAACTTTCGGAATCTCTTTTTGTATTCTTTAGGGGAGATAACGGTGGGCGACTGATTTTTAGGGATGAGTACTGACGACTTAACAAAGGTTTCAATGTGCTTTCCCCATGTATACTGTCTGAGATAGTCAATGATGCCACACACAAGTTCACGCCGTTGTGTGTCCATTCCCACCAGTAGAGAATAATCCATCACATTGATATGCTGCAAATCAGGGAGGAAAAATGTAAAACTAAATCTCATTGTGGGCCAGTGGGGGATGGATGTTAGAAGCCCCCCCCCCCTCTACATGCGAGAAGAAACAAAGATAAAACACAAACTTACATTTAGGAAGGAACAGTCATTCCACACAGCGCGTTGCAGATTTTGCTTTGATTTTCTAGTGACATACAAAGGAGAATCATTCATATCATTCACAAAGTTCTGGTCAAGAAGTACGTTCCCTGCCTCATTGCTAGGAGTATTAAATCGAGCATGCAAAGCGCCTTTAAGATCATACTGTCGAGTAATAACTCGACCAAATGAGAGATTTTCCATCACCATCAGCTCATATTTTTTCTCTTTTCCATTCTTTGTCGGTCTAATGGTAACCTGCAAAATTATTTTATTGAGGGGGTAAGTCCTAGAAGTGTAGAGGAACAGAAAACAAAATGAGAGTTGATAAAAACCTGATAAACACCGAGAATTTTTGCGAGGCAGGTCTGGTTCCCCTTCTCATAGCACTGATCCAAATACTTGAAATAATCAGGACCAAACACCATAAATGAGTCGTATTCGATCTTCTGGATGCCCTTTATGATGAACCGGTCATCAAAAGTTTTGGCAAAGAGAGATTTGCTTTTTCCACCTTTAGCATCCCAAACTCTACACCGGCTTATTGAAGCAATGTAATCATCTTCAGATGTACAACAACGATCACGCAGCTGCCGAAACTGGCTAGCATAGGCACAAGAGACATGATACTTGCGTTTCCCCTGGTGTTTTCCATAACCCATGTTAACTTGTACATGATGAACTGAAGGATTAAAGGAATCTAGCCCATCAAAACTTGATGCACAAGATTCTTCCAAAAGAACACTAGAACGGCTCCCTTCGGAGTCCAAGGACCTGGATGACGAATTTTGAGAAAATAAGAATGCCCGCATCAGGCCTTGAGAACTATCAAATGTCTTGGCATCCATTACCTTGTCTTCTCTATCATCATCCCCAAAATCATAAACAGTATTGGGTGGTAAATCCTTCAGCAAGGCCAATGCACAAGCAATTATGCTTGAAAGTTCATCCTCAAAGTCACTAATGATGTAGTTGTAATCGCCAAGAGGGATATGCAGTTTTGCACCCTCATCAGCAATAAGTCCAGATAAAATACTTTCTGCAGCATGGCAGGTGACAGATCCAAATTTTGGCAAGTTCCCTGTTTTAAGAATTTTTATAAACTCGCATCGGATTTCTGGGAAGGGAGTCCAAATCCATTCCATACCGGCCTCACAGCTTGACAACATTGAAATGAAGGAATTGTCTTCAAAATGATTCCATCCCGCATCACTAGTAGCCGGCATTAATTTATTGATTTGCGCTTGAGTAGATGAAGGCAGAATGTGTTCAAGATGACCTGCATCACCAGCATGGGACTTAGAGGAGAAATTGGATTTCACTTGAGTGCCACGCACTGGTAAATTGTTCCGAGATGCACTCCCAGCAATTAGGCCCTTACTGCCTTCTAGAATGACAGATGAAGATGATGATGAGTCATCTTCTGACATTAATCCTTCAAGTTGTTCGCCGAGATAATTTTCTCTATCATGGGTATCAGTTATATTCATATCAAGGGAAGATGCATTTCCTGAAGCATCATCTGCTGGGCCTTCTACAAAAATTTCTACAACATTGCTTTCATCTTCAACAGAACCATCAAACTCAATCTTAATTTCAGCACCACTGTCTGCAATAGTATCCACTCTTTCTATGTCTGTTTCAAAATGACTGACTTCTTTCCCAAATTTCTCATCTTGTCTCAAGCAAGTTTTCCCATGCTCCATGTTGTCAACTTGAGGATATATTTGCTTTATGATATCTTCAGCAAATGAAAGTAATGCATGTAGCCTTTTATCCCAAATGCATGCCTCAAGCAGAAGATCCAGCCGTATTGTGTTCAAGCTAAGGAATTTGTACGCAATGTTATCAACATTCCCATTATTAAGTTTCTCAATATCAGCCTGACATTATATTGGTAAGGGCAAAATCAGTAAGTGGAAAGAGACAATATTTTCTACTATCCTCCCAAAACCTTGTGTTGAAAAAATCAAGGCATGGTGCATATTCCTAATTACACCACTGAAATGGGTTGAAATGGATGTTCAGTCTTATGTTGATAGGTTATTTTAATACAACAGAATCTATCACTCTCTCATTATCTCTTTCAGTCTGTGGGATTCTCTACTATCATCCCAAAAGCTATGTATTGAAAAAATCAAGGCATAGTGCATATTCCCAATTTCACCACTGAAATGGGTTGAAATGGATGTTCATAGTCATATGTTGACAGGATATTTTAATACAACAAAATCTCTCTCTCAATATCTCTTTCAGTGTCTGACTGTCTGTAGGAATATCTACTATCCTCCCAAAACCTTTGTATTGAAAAATAAAGGCAAGTACATTTATATGTTAGTTTATTTTATTTCTCTTCAGAATAGGCCACATAATTGTTGTTATCTTCACCTTATTCTTTTTGCTTATCACTTTCGTATTTTAATCAGATCCATCAGACCAAACCAAAACATCCAAATTAGACTATACTAAAAACATTCAGATTGATGTCATACATTTCACACTCAAATCAAACAGGGTCAAAAACATTGAGATCACATCAGACTAGTAATATTCAGACCAGAACTGGAAATTTTGAATCAAACAAGGTCTGTAGAATACAACAAGTGAACAAACCCAGTAAAGTCCCTCAAACAAAGGTCTGGGGAGGGTGTGTGTATGCAGACCTTACCCCCCCACACGAAAGTTTAGAGGCTATTTCTAAGAGATCCCTGGCAAAACTAGGCCTGTAAAAAATCAAAAATTATTTCAGATCCCATTTTTTCATGAAAAGAGATGTTCTTAGTCCATTCGTATGAACCTTTTATTTCTGTGTATGAAAAAAACATACGACAACACATGGGTTTCAAAGGATGTGATGTGTATTTAAGTGTGATGTGATTGAAACCAAAACATAAATTCACCCTTGATGTTCAAGGTAGAATTATTCACGTTGCAAGAGTAGGAAAAGAAAAATTAAAGGGCACAAAGTAGAATTGGAAGACAAAATCTTAAGGTAGTATATTATGACCTCACAAAGGGAAAACATATGTGGCAGTGAGGGAGGAAAACACAAACCTCAAAGTGAGACCTCTCCTCTTTCAACATTGCATCAATTTCAATGAATTCTTTAGGAGTTTCTTGAAGGTTGAGATCTCTTCCAATGGAATGAATCCAGATATCCTTCAAAGTGTTCTTGATATCCTTAAACATCTGAATACCTTTTGAATATACCTTCAAGAAAAAAGATACAATTGTGAGTTCTCTGGGTAAATAGTATAGAATGCTAGTAGCTTTGTATTAAAGAGTCACAAAGCTACATACATTCTCAATATCTCTGTTCAGGAACTCGGCTATTAAGGGATTTCCAAACTCAAGGTGCAGAGGAGGCAGAGACACCAAGTAAGTAGCAACAGGTGTGTATCTAAGCATGGCAACCATTGGACCCAATCTGCATGTTTGCACGGAAGACATCATATTATCTTCAAACATGAAATAGGTATACCAGAATCGTACAAAGTAAACCCCGTGAATTGAAACTAATCCAATGAAATTGGCTTCTGATCACACATATACACAGAAAAGAAGATTAAATTATAGTGAGGTGCAACATGCCGAAGCCAGAAATGGACATGTATCCTCTATAACCTTAGCTGTTATATAGATCAGCATACTTAAAAGGCATTGCATAACAGAAAAGAGAAGCACAAATTAATATAGATATAGACATCCATTCATACCCAAAGAATAATGCAAAATCCCTGTGAAGACAATGTCCACAGTTGGATAGTTTATTAAAGACAGATGAATTTGAGAAGGTCAGCTCCAAAAATTTCCCAAATGACAAACCACGAGCAGCAGATGATATCAGAATACGTTTTGTAGATTTTGAACTTCCATTTTTGAGTTTGCATTTACCACAACGGCTCCACATCCAAAGCTTCCCTTCCCTCGCACCTGACAGGCACCAGTCAGCAGGACAAGCACGAACTTGTATTGTGAGTTGCTTATTGTAGTGCGCATAGTAAAAAATGTGAACGTTGGGTGGTTCAGCACATGTTTTGCACAGTAGCTTCTACAACAAAAACAAAATTTATATGAGCAACCACCATGAGTCATGCAAATTTACCGGAAAGAACAACTCATACTATGTTCGTGGTTCTTTTAGTAGAACATAAAAAACCCATTTGCATTGGCCGCCAATGCAGTAAAAAGCTAAAACTTTTCCATAATAATGAAACTAAATTCCAAATTAGAAATAGAAGAAAAAATTTGAACAGATATGGAATGTTCATAACCTGATTTAGCAAAGTATCCTGCAAAAAATTCCCAAGGGGGACATCAAAGTTTTTGTAGAACCTGATATGTGAAAAATGTCTATGTTCACACATAATCCCTTTAGAAGCATTCCGGCTTGACATCAGAACCAAAATACTTTCAGAATCCAATACTGTGGTAATATCATCTCCCCCATTTCTTTGATCTTTATACAACTCATTCTCTGCATCCAAATCTTCTTCAAGAGTATCAGAAATATGCATGATCTCCTTCTCTGGTATCTTTTCTTCATCAGGGAATATTTTAGGTTCTTTAACACTATTAACCACTGTTGAAGCATTAGAAACCTGAGCATCAGTCTGGATGTGATCATCCATGATGCTTCTATCAACCCCAAGATGTGAGCACATAGATTGATGGGACGAAGAAACTTTTGGAAAACTTTCTATCATAACTTCTCTTAGAGAAGATGTAAGAGCAGAAAATCCAGAGAGGATGATTGGGTTGTATGGATCTAGCGACATTTCAGGGTTGACTTCTGATTGCAAAATATCATCTCCCTCTGCATGAAACCCGTTAGAAATCACATCTGTAATTCCAGGAAGAGAATCTTCATTGTTTGAAACACTTTCTGCACCATGACTAACAGATGTAGAATTTTTTTTGTTAGCTGATACTGTCATCAAATGTGTTGGCTGGACGGTAGAAAACATTGCCCTCTGATCTAGAATGAATGATGTCTCAAGGATTAAATGATAGGCCATCACAACTGCACATTGGACCACACATTTAATCCTCTTCAATTCATCAATGTTACTCCCCATCAACAAAATCTGGCAATGAAAATTAATAGTTTAAAATATGGAAATAAAAAATGCAAGAAAAAGCAAATTCCATCCACAAATCAAAGGAGCACGAAAAGATTCCAACCTAACAAGAATGTCATTTGTTGTAAAAAAACCAATGAGTCGAACACCAAAAATGGTCAAAATTGGAGGTGAAGCATCTACTTAAATAATCCAGCAAACAATAGAAGCACTCTTCAAAATATTAACAAAAGGTAATTCACTATCAAATAGTCATGCTCCTATACAGTTCTCTCAAATATACTTCAACATCATCATGAATGAATTCTTGCTTTTAAAATTAAAATGAGCATTTTCAATTATGACAAATGAAGAAAACATAAAGACTGCACTTTAGGGTTTCATTACAGCCTTTTCAAATATTCAAACCCACACCATTACAAATGATTGGCTGACCAGCATCAACTCAACAGTTCTCTTAGGGAGCCCCCCTACATATAAATTTCAAGATATTGGCATGACCACAGTATTCTATTAAGAAACTTATGTCCCACAGCACAAAATTAAAAAAAAAATAATGCTAGAGCAGTGTAGCAGCATAGCCATTTTTGTTATTGGATACAAGAACAGGCATCGAGAGAAGAGTACATGTTTGTTAATCTACAATAATGTATATGTAAACGACACCATTTAAGGTGCACCCTGAACAAGCATATCTATATATGCTCCTACACACAATTTAAAACAAGAAAAGAGAGGCTAGTAGTGGAAAGAAGTGTAAAATCATTATAAACTCCTCTTGCCTAGATTCACCTTAACAATTGATCACTCATGGTAACTGCCCTTTTCTGTATTTTGATCCTTTTAAGCTGGTTTCTATTCATATTCACTTTTAGAACTTTGTCCTAATTTCATGAGTAACACTCAACAAATGCAGCAGAAGTTGATACTTGCATACATAGGTACACAAATTAGAGTTTAATTTCCCAATAAGATCGATCATGTGATGCGTATTAAAACAAATATCCTCTGCAGTAATTATACTTGCAGGATAGTAATTTCCATGGATGACAAATCGTCCAATGACTCAAATGACACGAAGAAGGGTTTAAAGATATCAAAATGTGCACCGAGTTTTTTTTGTGACTAATGTTCTTCCATGGAAAAACACAAGCAGTACTAATGAGAATATTGATGAATAAAGTGCAACTAAGATGGGCAAGGTGAAAACACACTCACCGTACAACCAAGACGTGTAGGACAACCTTCAATAAACATCAGTGTTTTGTTGGGCCTCCTTCCACCTTCACGAGAAGTAGCATGTTCTTCGATGAACTTCTCAAAATGAAATGAATCGCACTGCCTTAGCTTTCCAGCTGCAAATGAATCACAAGATAGTATAGGTGAACCAGTGCATCGAGCAACTCTCTCAAGACGATGAAGTTTCATGTCAAAGACTAATGTGATTCCCTTTTTGAGAATAGATTCCTGCACATCACGAGAAACTGCTTTCTCCACTAACACAACATTGGGATGATACTTTTCTAACATTTCCTCAAATGATTTGAGGTCATCTTTCTCCTGTAATGAATGAAAAGTAATGACAAATTGTTAGGTGATTCATTTTAGAGAACAATATCTCTGCTGGCTTGCTTAACTCAATGCCATAGAACTGGTTGAAGTAATATTACCTGTTGCATTGATTCAAAAGAAGACAACTCATTTGAGGAGAGGCCAAGTGCACCACGTATCAAAAGTAATCTGGGGTTCTTGTACCTTGAAGGCATGTGTTTGTGAGCAGCGTGTTTCTTGAAGACTAAACCTTTAACAAATTGGCTGCAAAAGAAAGAAAACGTGACCAGAGATTAAATAATGCAGTACAAAGATCATGAATATCGTATTGGAAGGGTAGTTAATGAAATTAGGTGAGTGCAAACAAGAATTACTTGAGATATTTTTAACGTACCAACGGTACCATTTGTAATAATTTCATAATTAGTTCTCACCTTAACTTCAAAGATCAAGAAGAGAGAGGAGGGGGAATAAAACATTAAATATTACTACCACTGATTACGAGTGCCAGTTGCAACACATTTTACTTTAACATAGCCATCAGGATCCATTGCCTTGCCCTTAGCTGCAACAACCTTCACAAATGAAGCAGCATTCCACGATAGACCAGTCACTATATCAACCCAACTGTGGACATCTTCCTCTGTGGAGTTTACACCGACAGACTTGAGAAGTTGAGTAACAAGTGCCTTAAACTTCCCACTCATAACCTCTTCCATTGCCTTCCGCTTTTGCTCTTTGAACTTGACACTCCCAGAGACCTCTTCTCCGAAGCTAACTAAGTTCAAACCATCAGCACATTCAATGTCCTCATCATCCTCATAGTTAGTCACACTCCCCTCCATATCCAGATCTCTGTCTACAGGATCGGGTGGTCGCCAGAAGTCAGCATCCACTTCAAGATTAAAACATACTCCACTTTCTTCATCGGGGTCTCTTTCTGATATACTATTTTCCACTTCAGAGCCTCTATTATTTATTCCACAGTAGTCTACATTGCTTCCTGTCCATGTATGCCCTTTATCAGACATTTACCACATTCACTTCAGATTTAACTTCCAGAACTCGGAATGATACATACCATTTGAAGGAGTTTGTAACCTAGAATCAGGAAGATCCCCATTTACATTAAAACAGAAACACCCTGGACTGCTGCCTGTTGTGCTTTCATCGAGAAAACCCCTGGTAAAAACACGCTTGAACTAAGAAGTAAGAAAAACTGAGAATAAGGTAAATGCATTTACATTAAGTTTCACTGCTAACCTGCAGTCAGAGTTTACATCAACTGAAAAATCACCTGGAGAGTATTAAAAACACATAAGGCAGCATTAACACATACTATATAAAAATGAGACTATTTTTTAGGAAAATGTAGTCATGTGAAACCTACTGCAGCTTGAGACGGATCTTTCAGTACTTTCAAATGAAACTGTTGGACTGATTGAAGTCGCCCCTTGAGAAGTTGAGTCAATATACATCCCATCTGTCATTTCACCACAAAATTGGCATGACTGGATGGAATTGATGTCATTTAATCTTCTACAGTTCTCATTTTCCTCCTCCATGTACAGTAATGTCTGTCACCTATTCAATCTGCATATCCAATCCAGAAAAGGTTACTTAAAAAAATACTGCAATGGGTAATGAAGATTATAGCAGCACTCCCAAGAACATCAAGATCTCAGAAAGGGAATGTGAGGTGAAACTATGACAGTGCAGATACTCATTCAACAACAGAAGAGGCAAACAAGAATTCAAAGAAGAAAAAAATCATTTCATAATTGCAAATGATTGTATTTACCCCAAAATACAGCAAATCTTTGGTATCAGCAATCAAACACATAAACTCAAACGAACTGCAGCTTCTCTAGTCAAAACCCGCACCCCACTTCATAATTTCATATGTTCATAAGGAGTTCGATTACAGGCAATCCATGATCTTTCTATATCCAAAAAAGAAAGTTAAAAAGACAATAAATACTTGAAACCACTCATTTCGAGTATGGAAAGAAGGGAATTACATGTTCCTAAACGGAAACCAAACAAGGCATTCACAAGATCACACGTGGAGTACATGAAAGCTTTCCATCTATGGGTCCAAAAACATTCGTCTAGAAATGTGTCAAACAAAGATTTACAGAAATTACTTACTGTAAAAGCAACCCAATCCGCACGCAAAAGCAATCCCCTCGAAACCAAACCCTACCACGACCAGGCTGAAGAATCTACACTGCCCGCTCGTAATCCTTCCTCGGAATGTCCGGAAAATTCAAGTAGAGAGAAAGTAAAGATGACGGAGTCTTGGGGAGACGAAGAAGGCAAGAATTTGGTTCAGAGAGTGGGTCCCATGCGGCGGTTAAGAGCTCCGAATAGTTCGAGTTGGAAATTTATATTGGATGTGGAAGATGATGGCGCAGATGGACGGACATTTGGATCTATGAACACGTATGCGGACTCCGCAGTCATCGTTTTGATTATTGACTAGCTGGCAACTTCTAAATAAGTAAGTGTTGAACTAGTAAGAGGTGTGAAACATTGAGTGCTAGTATATTGCTTAACTATTCAGAGGCAAATGTCTGATCAAGTCAGATAAGAGATCTTAACCATTCAGACTCTATATAATACTTAACCATTTAGAAGCAAATCTCTTAACCATTCAGACATCTGAACCATTAAGAGGCTGAAACAAACAGTCTGAACCATTATGTGTTGAACCATTCAGACATCTGAACCATTAAGAGGCTGAAACAAACAGCCCCTTAGAGAGAAAAAATGTATGAAGAATTCCAATAGTATACGGATACGGAAAATTTTGTTATGTAAGCCACGTTAGAACGTTTTCAAAGACTATACATCCTATCCTATATATATATATATATATATATATATATATATATATATATATACACTCCCTCCGTCCCACTCTTTTTGTCCACTTACCTTTTGGCACACCATCCAATTCACTTCTTTAATCCATTTTATCTTGTAATTTGTATATTAAAAAATTATAGAAATTATATATTAATAATCTATATGTTAAGACAAATCAAACAAGATCACACATGACTATATTTAGGCTTACACATTGAGAGAATTTGATGAGTCAAAGTGCTTAGATGAACAGTTCCAAAAGTCAAATGTGAACAAAAAGAGTGGGACGGAGGTAGTATATATGTAAAGTTGAGTGTATTGGTTGTAGTGTTGATATGTGGGATGCCACATGTGTATCCACATGTGCACTAATTATGAGATGGAGGCATTTTATTGGTTCATTAAGCTTCTTAAGCATCCACATGTACACTAATTATGAGATGGAGTATATTTTATTATATTACTAGTGTTTACCCCGTGCTTCGCACGGGCTCGTATATATTCTAAACTTTTGAGATTTTATAAATATAATTTTAGTTGTTTTAGTTTCTAATAGTGACAAAAAATATTTTAGACTGATGGAACATACAGAGTATATTGGTATGTTAATTTAAAAAAACAATTTTACAAATTTAATAATCATTGAATTAAGTACTAAATAGAAATGGTTTGAATCAATAAAATATTATAATAAAAAGTGGATCAGTTACATGCATAATGATACATCATTAGAGAATATATATGTGTCATAATGTCCTTTGTCAGTTGTCACCCTTTAAATTTATACAATCATTTTTCGAGAAGTAATAAACTAAAATAAGCTGTGGATAGTATAAAAATAATTTTATGTGTGTGTGTACTCAAAATACGAAGTTTATTTTACAATGGTGAAATATATATTCAGAATTATTAAGGAATGAAAAATTTTTAAAAATGTATTAAAAGATATTTAAAATAGGTGCAATGCATATATCCACTTCATAAATGGGTGCACATGTGGATGCACATGTGGCATGCCACATGTCAACATTGCAACAACTAAACTCTCTTTTACATATATATATATATATATATATATATATATATATATATATATAGGATATAGGATATTAAATGAAGATTGTTTTTTAGCATGAATAAACATTACTTTGATTATTTTTTGTATAAAACTTTTATTTTCTAACGATTCTATAAATATATATTTCACTATTGTAAAATATACTTCGTATTTTAAATATGCATATTGATTGCAAAATTTTATAAAAGAGTATGTATAAGACTCTCCATTATTAATTTAAAAATACTTCACTTTCAAAAATAGAAAAAAACATTTCACCTTCAAAGATATTAAATTTTTTTTGGCATTTTTATGTTTTATTTAATGTAATATTTTTTTAGTAAAATATAGTTATAGAATTTTTAGTGCATGTACATCAATATTTAAAGTATACTTTTTATTAAAAAAATATACTCTGTGTATCTTAGACTGAAAAATATTCATTTAAAATAAATAAAATTATATTTATAGAATGTCAAAAGTTTAGAATGCATACGAGCCTGTGCGAAGCACGGGGTTGACACTAGTCATTTTGTATAAATATATACCAAAGCTTTAGGTTGGCACAAGATGCAAGTATAATACTGATATAATATGAGTCTATAGCATAGTTTTAAGAATCGTACTGGAGACCAAACCGATCCAGGTTCTGGTTCACTGGTTCACTGGTTGAACCAGTGGTTCAGGTGGTCAAACCAGTGGTTTATATATATATATATATATATATATATATATATATATATATATATATATATATATATATATATATATAAGATTTGGTTCAAATAAAAATAAGATCTAATGAAAGAAATAAGAATGATTTTGGAGCCTTCGATGGAGTAATGTCGGCCGTTTCCTATATTTAAAGGAAAATGCTTAAGAGGCACCAAGCGTGCCTCCAAACATGCCACCATATATATTTAAATTTTATATATTTTTTTTTAATTTTCTTAGATTTTTCGTCTCCCGCTGAACAAATTTCCAATTCTCTCTCCATTCTCCCGTTTCAACCTTCACAATCTCCCAATTCCCAAATTTTCCTCTTTTTTCCCAAATTTGGCTTGTGTTCGTGTGATTGTTCATATTGTAGAATTTCGAATCCCAATTCCCAAATTTTCCCAATTCCCAATTCCCAAATTGTCCGCTCGACCTCCAGCGACCTGTCCCCATCCCTCCACCTCCAGCGCCAGCCCCTCCACCTCCAACGACATAATCGCCGGCAAACTCCCCAACCCTCCACCTCCAGCGACTTGTCCACACCATCCACCT